AAAAATCCTGAGGAAGCTCTTAGGCTGACAAAAGCTAAAGCCAAACACACCAGTAAGCAAATACCTGGCAATATAAATGGAAAGCACTACGCTACTCAAAGCTAGAAGAAAAAAATGCACGCAGGAGATACAACAGCAATCTACTGTTGTAGAGTCCAAATATTTTGAAAATGGAAGAACTGGCTTCATACACAGAAGCAGCACTCACTAACAAGGAATTGAAATCCCTCAACTTCAAAACACTTTTTTTTAAACATTCAATAGGGAGTTAAATTCTTCTTAAACTCATCCAACAGCCTCAGAAGATAACTCACTTAGATGCTGGCTGACAGCAGCAGGCACAAAGCACAGACATGATCAGTACCCAAACTGGCAGGCCCATGACCATTGCCACACAGAGCTTATAATGCAGTTTGTCAGAGGCACGTCCCAGATTGGCTGTCTCTGCTATCCAGAGTGTTTGCGGCTGATTTTTGTTTGTTTCATTGTTGTTTTTTTCTGTATTTTTGTGGGGGAGTGGTGTAACAAAAATACACGCTGTGGCCTGATTTGATGCAACCACAGTACAAAGAGGACCGAATTCTCCTTTCTGAATCAGTGGAAAATGTTTCCTTGCTAGTGGTTCTATCTCTTCAGAATGCAACAGGCCTGGCACCTCAAAATGCATACCAAGTTCTGGGCTTGAGAAGAGTAAGTCACAGGCCTGAGTTTCTAGACCTAATGCCAGTCACTGTTCAGCAGCGGACCAGAACACCTATTTTTGCTTGGATTAGTAGGTATTCTTACAGTACTAATGAACAACTCCGCAATACACGTGGAGGTGCCCATACAGCTGACACAAACAGAGAATAAGGGAGAACAAGGACTCATATCTAGGGTATAGGTGGCACTGTCAATGAATAACCTGTGGATCATTAAAAATAAGCATTTCTACAGGCTGTAGCTGTTCGTTTCAATGCCTTACCTTGCAAAATATGCATATACTTTTACTTTGATCTCTACCAACGCCTAATCATCATCTTTCTTACCTTCACGGATATCAAAGTGAACAATAGCATTTGTCTCAGCTTGCTCAAGGCATTTTTAATATGACCACAGCAGTGATTAGCAAGCATAACACTGGGACTTGTTAACAAACGCATCATAGTAATTAACAGAAGGCCAGTTTTATATACCAAATTATGTGGAATTCAATACTATCACTGTATTGAAGGCCAATAGGGTTGTCTGTTTCTTGTATTTTAAAGTAATTTCACAGAATATGGGAACAAAACAGGGTTTTTTTTGTTGTTCAATATAGCAGATGGAAAAAATCCAGAAGGTTTCTAGGTGAATACTGGGCATCAAATTTCCCACTTTCCCTTGGAAATGTTGCTGCCATCCTGCTCCAGGCCATAATCAGTAGCTTCCAGAACACGTCACCCTGTCAGCTAAGTAACACCAATGAAGGAATTTCTTCTTGGAACATATCAACAAGATTCCTCTGTGCACCCAGCGCACACCCTAAGTTCTGCATCCAATAAACAGCCTGAGTTCAGCCAAATCTATCAAGGTACACTGAAACTTGTCAGAATGAAAAAGAGGTTTCAATTTCTTAAGTAATGCAGGGCATTACTACAGCTGAAATTTGATGAAACCCTCCTGTAGCAGTTATCTCTTATCTCTCAGAATGTCCTTCCTTAATATTTTGCAATTCCTTGCTCTCTAACCAAGCGTAGATGAAAACATCTACGCATCAATTTTTCCATCTCCTAAAATATTTTTATTTGCTGAACATCTGGAAGAATCTTGGGAGGGGCAGGAGGTGAAGGGACAGATGTGGTCTCCTGGAATGGATTTCTTCTTCCACTAGGAGACAAAAATGCAAACCAGTACTAGAAGTTTAACTAAACAATGAAAAACTTTTTTCAATTTACCCGTGAAAGCTTCTATTTCCAACTTATGGCATGGAAAGGTATTTCTGAAAGCCTAATCATCTGTTCTTGCAATCCAAAAGAAAAAGCTGACCAGTTAAAGTCAGATGACATTTCATGGAGGTCTGAACTGCAACGGCAAAAACTTAACTAGCTTATAAACACTTCAATAAACACAGTTTTATCAGCTCAATAGAATGACAGCATCTGAAAAATAAAAGTAGTTCAGTTTCAAAGATATGCAGTGAGAAAAACCACAGCCTCACAGGAAGTTCTTATGGTACATTCCACAGTCAGCCACCTCACTCTTTCCTAAGTGTCTTTCAAGGAAAAGATGTGCTTCGCAGCAAGCTCCAAAGGTAAATAAATTTGAGCTATTTTGGAGTATGAGGCAACAAATTCAAAAGCTTCCCATGTCTGCCTCTTCTGTGGCACAGCCAGGTTTAAATACATCCACTGCATTCAGTTGTGGCAGTGAAACACAACAAGGGGGCTTTCAACAAACTGTCGGCTGTCTTTAAAAACAAACAGCAAAAATGAACATGTCACACCTTAAAAACTTCTGATGAAATAGAAAGGGTGCAAATGACAAGTCTGCAGTAACACTGCAACTTATAAATTGATTAAGAATGCTATAATTCTTATTGTGAAGCATAAAGTACAGAGGCTGCGATTCTTGAGATGCTGCATCTTTTCTAATTAAGATGAAAAACATGGATCACAGCAGTTTATTTATCCAGTTTGAGAAAGACAAGGTTGGAGCTCAAAGTTGCAATTTTCAGAAACAAAATAATTGACTCAGAAGATAATGAAAAATGACAAATTTTAATCTAAAATTCAGACAAACTTTGGTTGCAAAGATGGCTCCAAACCCAGCAAGCCAAGAGCTTGGTAATTAAGTTTGACAGGCCTGCTATTAGTGTCTACATGTCATTGTTAATACTGAAGAGTTACTCTTAAGTTGACGTCTTGGTACAAGATGTCCTTCGCTTCAAGTTAATGTTCTACTGATAGTGGAAGCCTGGTATACCTCCCCCTTATTAACTCTTGAGCTCAGGAGTAATTCTTGTCTTGTTGTTTTTTCAGGCTGTTCTGCAGAAAGGCAAGGCTTAGAGACAAAAGGTACCTTATGTCATGACAAAATTTGGCTTAAGTATCTGCAGGATGTCTTAATTATTCATTTAATGAAAATATAAATCAAACTACAGTCCAGGCTAGTAAGAGGCATATATGTTCAATTGCAATGACTCACACTGAAATGCACAAAAGTACAGTGTGGAGGTCACAAGAAAACTATTCCCAGATGAAAGAAATTGCTCAAAATATTCTATATCAAAGCTACACTGCAGCAGGCAGCACATTCAGCACTTTCCCATTTGCCCTTAAGTTGTGCTTTAGTCCAAGCATCTTGTTCAGGACCAGGATTAAAAACTGTCACTGTCACATGATGCTACATAGAATTATAATGACTTGCTGGATAAGGAATTGGCTGGATGGTCACATTCAATAAAGTGGTGCTCAGTGGCTCAACATCCAAATGGAGATTGGTGATTAATGGCATTCCTCAGAGACTGATGCTGGAATCAGTGCGATTTAGTATCTTTGTAGGTGACACAAACAGTGGAATCGGGGGCACCCTCAGCATGTTTGCAGACAACGCCAAGCTGAGTGGTGCAGTTGACATGCTAAAGGGAAGGGATGCTATTGAAAGGGGCCTGGATAGTTTTGAGAAGTGGGTCATGTAAACCTCATGAAGTTCAGCCAGGCCAAAAACAAAGTCCCACACCTGGGTTAAGGCAATCCCAAGCACTGATACAAATTGGGTGCAGAATGGCTTCAGAGTGCCACAACGACAATCAGAGGGCTCGAGCACCTCCCCTATGGGGACAGGCTGAGAGAGCTGGGGCTCTTCAGCCTGGAGAGGAGGAAGCTCCAAAGAGACCTCCAGAGTATAAAGATCCCACATTCTTTCTGCAATCATACTACAGAGCACCCCTACAAAAAAAAAAAGTATTCATAAAACTAACAATCCAATATGTTTAAAATAATTCTTGATAAATAGAATAGTCATTGTTCACATAATAGTAAATAAATCTCCCAATAAGCATTAGCTGCCTATTAAAAAGAGCCCCAACAGTAACTTCAGCATTAGATAGGCCTTTTAGATACAGGAAATCTGCATCAAAACACAGTTACCACCAGAGTTCATTGGAAGCCTAGAAATGCTTTTATCTAAAAGGAAACACAATGGTAGACAACCAAAAACAAGATGTCTGACACAGAATGATCCAGATATTTTCCCCTGTGTCATTTCCATATTTACTATATTTCCATATTTACAGCTAAATTCAGTTGCCAGTCACACGGTAGAAATTTACCCCACTGAATACAGTTCATCTAGACTGCATACTGACCACAGCCAGCACTGTGGTACTGGCTGTGTCAAACACTTGCTTCCTGTAATTAACTTCTTTAGTAACATGCTTTCTGCTTTATGAAGTTTGCTCTCTTTAAACTTTTATGAAGTTATTGTGACATGTGAAACCCTCCTCCAGACTTTGGCAGAAGTTAGTGTGATCTTGCACTGTGCTTTATATTACCTTTCTGCATGAACGCTCTTACACTGAGAGAGCATAAGTTCTCTCAAAAAAAAAAATCTTACACCTAGGCACCAGCAGCAAATGCAGTAAATTCATATATTAGCTTAAATATTAAGCTATGTATACTTACAATAGGGTTTAGCCAGTTACTTTCAATTTAATATTGTTCATTCAATTCCCTTGATAATTTTAAAAGCTCTTCCCCCCGCCCCCAGCAATTGGAATCTGCAAAGGTTAGATTCTGAATTGCACATCGCATCAGAACGGACGTTCCTCAAGTCTCTGCCATTTAAAAAGCCTTGACAGAACTGGGACAAAAATCTAAAAAGTCATTTTTACCCTGAAGGCTATTTCTGCAGATCACAGTAACTGGAGACATCTTATATTGCAGCTCCCTCCACAGTTTATTGTGCACAAAAAACCAAATTTTCTATAGTAAGAGAAAAAATACAAAATCAAAATACTGTGAATAAAAAGCTTAGGTTACCTCCCAGAAGCTATCACTAGAAACTTCTACTCCAACAGAATCATCATATGAGCCAGACATTTCTATGTATGGAGAGCTTGCAAGTATTCAGAGCTTCAACACCTTCAAAACCTGCACAGAGATTAAGAAAAAAAAAAAAGAGCGTTATTAATGAAGAACAGTTATTAGAAGAAAAATGAAGTACCATCCTTAAATTCTTGGATATCATGAAGAACAAAATAAAAACAAATGCCAAGCACACACAGCATGTAAGTGCATTCTGAAACAGAATCATTTCCTGTCAGTTCTCAGCTCTACCATCGTATTTACGGTGTTCAGAAGCTGTTCAATTCATCTGTCAAATATCACTGAACTTACATTTTAAATTTACTTTAAGAAAAAAAGGAAATCTCTTAAAGACATTTGAACAGTGTGATTTCTACTTGCTAAGCATGCAAAGCACTCTAAGAGACGATCAGTTGAACTTTGCTAACAATAAATTTTAATTACATAAAATTTTATTACATAAAATTTTATTTTATGTAATAAAAACCATTGGAAACATTTAAGGCCAAGAACAATTATGGATTTAAAAATAAACCTCCTCCATTCCTGCCATTTCTACAGGAATCTTAGATTCAAATAATCTAGTGGAAAGCTAGGCACCCACAAAAGCAAACAGCTTCCTTTCTCAACAACAGAAAGCAAAAAGCTACAGGAAAGACCATTAGAGTTACTGAATTCAATTTGCAGGAGGCAAAGCCAGCCTCCTCCCTGAAAAGCTCAGCACATAAGTTATTCAGACAGTTATTTCACCTACAGTCACCTGTGACCAGACCTCTTACCAGGCTAGCTAATTAACAGGTGTGTCATTTGCTTTTTTTTGCAAATGCTCCTCTGGATTCTAAAGGAGAGAATAGATTTCAAATGACAGTACAATACATACCTACTATTCCCAGTGTACTAAGTAAAAAGCTGTAGATCTCATGGCAAAAGGTCTACTTGAAGGTGACAATTACTTTTACTTCCACATTCAAATTCATAGAAAACTGAAATAGCTCTAATATTGAATAGAGGACTGAAAACTGCCAAAGAGACATCACAGTCTCATAGGACAGCCTGGGTTGAAAAGGACCATAACAGTCATCTAGTTCCAACCCCCCTGCTGTGTGCAATGTCGCCAACCAGCAGACCAGGCTGCCCAGAGCCACATCCAGCCTGGCCTTGAATGCCTCCAGGGATGGGGCATCCACAGCCTCCTTGGGCAACCTGTTCCACTGTGTCACCACCCTCTGGGTGAAAAACTTCCTCCTAATATCTGACCAGACCCTCCCTGTCTCAGTTTAAAACCATTCCCCCCATCCTATCACTTATCCACCCTAGGATATCAATTACATTTAATTTCAAAAAGATGTTCAAAAATACAGGAAGGGTTCTGCAAGTCAAGGAAACAAGGGGTAGCAATTGTTCTATTAAAAAAAAAAAATAAAATTCTCCATAAAGAGTCATTTGGTCACAAACCAGAAATCCTTATTTATAATTCCTTACAATTAGTCACTGTTACTCTTAAAATACAGAGGTAATAAGGTCTTTCTGTACCTTTGAAAGGATGATGAGAAATATGGAGACAAAGTAGTTTTATATGTTAATGTAGTAATCTTCAATTTGCTAATAATAATTACCAGGAGAAAAGTTTTACTACCTGTGCTAGTATGGAATCAAGGGGGAACACAGAATCATACAATCTTTAAGGTTAGAAAAGACCTTCAAGATCACCAAGTCCAGTCATCAACCCATCACCACAATGACCACTAAACCACTACCCTAAGCACCACATCTACTTGTTTCTTGCACTAAAACACTGTTTACATGTAGGCTGCTAAGTTCTTAATTAGAACTGTTTAATCAGAATATATTCTTTTCAAGTAAACATCGGCCCTGACTATTCTTACAGTAAGGAAAACAAAGAACATATTTGTAAGTGTTGTTTTCTGACAGCCCTTCCCAGATAGGTAGAAGCAGCACAGAGAGGATGCAAGAGTGCCATAAGCTTTCAAGTAGTTGGACAAACTTGAAACAATAGTTTGACATTAAAAAGTTGTTTTTTTTTTTCCCCCCAAGAGTTTGATTATTCTAAAGTTTTCCTGAAAATACAAGGCCATGCAGTGGTACCTTTAACAGTAATTCCAGATACTTTTTCTGATCAAAAGGACACTTAGAAGACAACTTGCTTGACCAAACACTGCTAGCTATTTTCCCAGATGTTTATTTGCCTCTCTGATATTCCCCATTAAGGAGCACAAACACAATACTCTCAAAACCAACAGTGAATGAAGCAAATGCAACTCAGGAATGCTATGCAGACTGAGTGAGGTTCTCAGGAAGGGTTGCATCGATCTCCTACAGCAGTTACAACACAATCTTTAAACCGAAGTGTTTGTTGCTGTTTGGGAAAGATCAAGCTGAGGATTGTTGAGCTCAGTGTTTCAGAAAAACAAAAAGTATAAACCCAAATCAAGCCAGCCACCCCCTATGCCCCCCCAAAAAAGCACAGAAGACCTATTTTTTCCTTCTTAAAGAAAACAGTCAAAGTGTTCTGAAGTAACGACAGTGTCAGCTTACCTTCTTACCTTTCCTCTCATTAAGACGGCCTAGGCTATATGAGCACTGGAAAGCTTTATCTGAAAACTACACTGAAAAATAGGAAAGGTTGAAACAAAGGAACATTTTCTTAAATGAGGGAGCAGGTTGTGGCAATTTCCTCCCCCTCAAAGTTTTATTCCTCCTAAACTAAAAGTACGTAACACACTAACCTTTTTTTTCCATAAAAGCATGAAAATGATCAGCACTCAGGAAATTCTGATGGATTTAAGGTTTTCCTATGCCAAGTACTATGCTGTGAGAAAGTATGAGCAAGCGTATTTAGGGAAATATTGTGAAGTCATAGCAACAACAGGCACAAAAAAACACTATTTGTACAGCACAACTTAAAAATAAACGGAATACTGAAATACCAACATCAAACTGAATGAGTCATGCTGCTCTCATGCAATAGATTTATTACAGCAGCCAGTTCTTTAGCACATTTTTTGTTAGGGTTTGGTTCTCCCATCCTTCAAATGAATTTGCAGGGCTTCACAATGAAAGCCAGTTACATGTTGATAGTGAGGGTCATATGCTTAACTGTGAAAAGTAAGCCTGAGAACAACGAAGGCTGCCAGAATAAAATCTGGGCCATTTAGATCAGTAAGCCAAAAGAGATGGCTCCTGCATATGATCAGTAAAAAGTTGGGAGTTCTTTGCTCAGCAAGGCGGTAAGTAGCAGAACTAGCAACTCCGTAAGAAAGCAAGGTACACACACCCAGTTCCTGCATTTCCACAACTTGGCTTCAGGCATTCCAGCTTCGGTCTTCTTCCACAGCTTCAGGCCCTCTCTAGGAGCCCTACATTACCTTTTTCTTGCTGAGCAGGCAGTAGCATGGTGTTCTGGCAGTTTCTGCCCACCTCCAAGCTGACTTGTCAGCCAGCTCACCACTCACGGTGCATCATTACTGAGCCCACACCAGCTTTCTTGAGCAGGTACATCATCGTATTAAATCTTCGATATTTTCTTCCTCTGTACCAAAGATCTCTGGGATTTTCATTACAGAATAAAATCCTAGTTTTTTTTATCTATCAAAGGTTGACCCGTATTGCTGCAGACACAAACCACCAAATGTGTGGCAGCACAGAGAAGATCTTAATAGCACACAGCCCTGCTGTTGTTCACCACAGTGTCAGCACACAGGAGCTAAGAGAACTCATGTAGCTCAAAGCAAACCACAAATTCCAACCGAAAAGAGTAACTAAACTAAATAGTTATAGGATAATAGTTACAGGATACTAAATAGCAAATACTGTAGTAACTACAGAAATGGCACTGGTAAGAAAAGCTCAAATTTCTTAGTGATTTTGAAGACATTATGAAACTGAGCAATAAACAAATGAGATTTATTAAGAAAAAAGCTTCCTCCTTAGGGAACATTCTAGAAATGCTACATGCTAAAAACCTTGATGCTTTTCCTCTACTGCCAGTGCCCTCTAATGTGAAAAGACTTGCTATAAATATCCTGAGGGTTCAACAAATGAGATTTTTAGAAAATATTAACTAATAGTAGCCAAGCAGGCCTTCAGAAATTGCACAGAAAGATCTGAATGAAATATGCTGCTTCTGCTCTCAAGACATCAGTTTTGATATCGTTACCTTGAAAGCAATTCACAAAATTCAAAAAGCATTTACTTTGCTCACATGGAAAACACTTGATTTTCTTTTTTATTCCCTTTTGTTGTGTCAGGTGGTAGAGCTTAGCACATCACACGACTTGCAAAAGTCTGGGCAACAAATGCAGACTTAAGATGGCATAATAATCCAGGCTATTCCAAAATTTCTCTTCAAGCGTTTTCTAACAGAAAAAAAAAAAAAGGAAAAACAGTATTTAAAGGCATTCTTCAACCCAGCTCTTCCTTCAGAACAGACAAGTTTTTAACGAACTCTTATTGTGAAACATGTAGAACTGTTTGTCAAATTGTCAGATTTTAATGTTCTGAACCCCCTTGGAAGATGTCTACATTTTAAGAGGATAGCATTAAAAAGGAAAAATGAATTAGGGTCTTAATGTTGCTTACTGGATGCAACAAAGAGGAAAACTAGGTGCTGGAAGTCTGATATTCCAACATGAAGGACATCTGCACATGAAACACTATTTCCACACACTCAAAACCTGAAGGCAATACCATAGCCTTGTCCTACAGACCTGCTCAACATTTCCCAAAATGTGCAATCCAGATAACAAGCAGAAGGCATGATCTTTCGTGCCCCACTTCTAGAACTTCACTGTTTGCAGAACAGAATGAGCCAACAGGAGTTCCCAGTGCCCACACAACATGGCAATCATCCTTCCAACTAATCTCTCATGTACGACAGGTGCTTTAAAGCAAGGCAATCTCTAATCCTGAGGCTCTGCATGACAAATTAGTCCACAACCAAGAAAACTTCAGTTACATGAATGACTGAATCATTTATAGCAGGGTGAGCTATGAGATCAGACCAGATTCCTCAGAACTTTATACAGTTGGGTCTTGAAAGCCTGCAAATATGGAGACTGCACGATTTCTCTGTGCACTTCAGCCCAGTGTTTAGCATTCCTCATAGTGAGGAAAAAATAAATCAATTCATTTTTAGGAAACCGAACAGTCTCTTCAGCCATTAATACTATCCTTGTGTTTTCTTTAAGGACTCTTCAGAAGCAAACTCAAAGGCAGTTTAACAGCGTCTAGAAGAAATGCACCTGTTCACATCCCCCTTTAAATTCCTGTTTGGAGGAGCAGAAGTTGTCACTCTGGATCTGATTCAGCAGGATTCCACATTCTGTGACTAGGGAGTGAAATACAAATAAGGGTACGAATACAACTCAGCTTAGACCAGCTGCTAACAAACACTTTCAGCTATGGTATTTTTCTGTATTACTCACTGAAGTCTTTGCTGTACAGAAACAAACATCCTGTGCTTCAAGTACAAACCACTGTGCTTTGCTGCTAAGCCCAGCTACCACAAACATGCATTACAAAAAAGTGTATCTTGTATTTTGGGTTAAATAAAGCCATTTAGACATTCCTTCTTTTTCTATCCTGTCCAAACAATCTGCTGTAGGAGAGCTCCTGATTTCTTTGGGGTTGCAATTTCTGGATGGCTCTACATGGTCAGAAAAACACAGTCTTTGAGAAATAATGTGAAATTATAAACCAAAACCTGGTTTATACTTGAAGTCCACACACGGATTGGACCAGAGGAAAAAATGTTTCCTTCAGTTTATGCATTCAAGCGACATCTAGGAATTTTAGCTCCAGGATGCAGGGGCATCAAACCAAGTTTATTCACTACTATTCAGCGCTGTAAACACCCCTAATTGTGATTAGAAGATATGACTGCCTACTAATAATACAAGTTAGGCCTCAGCCTTTTGAGGCCATAGTCTCAAATCAACAGCTTTGCCTTAGTTCTTATTTTCCAATCTACAAGGGAGAATAGCATGCTCTTCTATTAGTTCCCTCCAAAAACTCAACTACACCAACTAATGCAAGAAAAGAGTCTGTAAAGGGAAACCAAATCACTGCCTCCTATGGAATTCAGTCAGAGCAGCACAACAAATGGGTTTTTGAAAGGTGACAGCAATCCATTTGGTGGTAACCTCAGTATTCTAGGCACCGAGGCAAGGAAACTAAGAAATGCACACTAACATGATCTGCATTATGCCTTCTCCTCTGTGACTGAGACAGCATATAAGCTACTAGCCTGTCCCAGCCATTCATAACTTTAAAAAAGAGGAAGGAGAAATTCCTTACATATCTGCTTTGGCCCTAACAAGTAGGATGTGGATGGGGCTGCCGGTGTGCCCGCACACTGGAGAAAGGTAATTTGGGGGCAGCTGCAAGGCAAGCCCATACTGGTGTCAGCCACCCACCATGGGAGCACAGGGAAGAGGAGGAAGAGGAGAAGAAACACTCAGCTGCACCTGAAGTGGAGGAAGGCAGAGGAAAGGTGCTTTCACAGGTGTGCAGCTGCTACTGGCTGCCTTGCTCCCCACGCGCTGGCCCAGGATCAGAAGTGTTAAATGGTATTAAATGCCAGTTAAGCAAAACACAGAACTAAAAACAAAACAGCAAAAATCAAAACTATGAGTTAAGAATTCGATTTGAGACAGCTTCCTACAACTGTATTCAGTGATACTCACGTTCGCTAAAATGTCACATCTCTAACAGGCAGCAGAGAAAACCACTAAGAACAGCATTAGTTCACTGCCTTTACATGCAGGCAACGAGCAAACAAACAGTTTCCAGCACACAACAGAAGATCAATAAAGCAGCCAGAAGTACCTTGACACTTACCACACAATAAAAAAATCCAACTATACTGATAAGACTATCTCAGTTTAAAGTCACCTGACACATCAACACTGCGTATCTGAAATTTTACAGTGTATAAATTTCACACCATATAATATAAAGAATGAGAACAACTACTTCAGTTATTGTATTCCCATTTAAAACAGCTTGAATATCTAATTAAATAAGCAACATTTTAAATTACTGATTAAATGCAACAATCTTTGAATATTAGAACACAGAAGTCCACCTTTGTATTGCATGACAAGGACCCAAACTTTGCCAAATAGATTCTCAGCATCAGGCTTCAGATACTTACATTATGATGTCATTCAAGTACTCTTAGAAGACAGGCCAAAGTTATGAGCTGTTGTTTCTGTCTGGTTTTATATTTGAAGACAAAGCAATTGAACCCTTAAAACCTCTTGGGAAATTCTCTCTTGTAACCGTGTGTCCTTACTGCAGGCACAAGCAATACCAGGGCGATGCACTTGTCTGTGAACCAGCTGTCAGCCCCTATCTTCCTCTCCCTTCATTTGCTGTCATCTGTACTGGGTTGTTTTTTTCAGACATTCAAGACTTACCCATCATGCTGTCTGTATAACCTCTGTCTGCATATTTAGAACCAAGCCAAGAGATGACTTGCACAGCAAAATGAGCAACCAAGAAAAATTACATATTTTTGTCATCTCTGTGCAGGTGGATATTTTAATGGTGTGGTTTTTGCTTTAGCCATACGGTTGCTAACCATGTTCAGAGGCTTCACAGAGGTTTCTGATTTTTAAAAGAAACAGACACCGACCACAGGAAATAAATACAAACTTTAAATGGCATGCCTGTGTTGGTGAAGGCCATGAGATCGATATGCAGCTACCCAGGGAGTTCTAGAAGACTTAGTTGTACTTAGAAGTTTAATATATTCAGACTACGCACTTTTGCTTAACTGTAAGTGTAAGAGTGATGCAGTAACAAGAATAAAAAGACAGTAAAAGTCTCCAAGTTCTTCAGATACCAACTGAGCCTGCACTTGCAGTGCTCTGCTCAAAGCTGGACAACACTTAAAACGCTCCTGCTGTACACCAGCCCTTGTGATCTCCTGCTCACCAACACAGAAAAGTTCTTACTTCAAATTCCAAGCATAGATCTGAACAGAAATTATTTTATTACTACATTTCAGTGTTAAAATATCCCAATGCCAATGAAAGGTTTCACTGCATAACATGCTTCTATTGCATTTGATCAAAAAAGGTTTGTTGTTGTTTTTGTTTTTTTTTTTTTTTTTTAATGATCACTACTCAACAACATTAAGTGCATAAATTTGGAGTTGATGCTCATGAAAGTGTTCTGATAGAAATTTTATTCTTTAAAGTAAGACGGGAAAAAGAGATCAATTACAGAGAAGTGAGAGTAATGACGATCCATAGCAAGAAGAGTGCAAATGGCTATCTTCAGTTTCAATCTTCATGAATCTATCTGAATACATTTAGATCTTTTAGGACGATTATTCAGTGACAAAAAGGTGCACGCAGTTTCCTATGTTCCCATTAAAAAGATGTTTTTCAACCTCAGCCACCTAAGCAAAGCCTCCAGCTTTGCAAATAGAGTTCCACGAGCGGCTAGCTATTGCAGGAGAGATTTCAAACCATGGACTGAACAGTATGAGAATTTAACAGTAATGAATAAATTTCCCCAAGCCAGAACTCTAACACAGAAGCATTGTTAAATTTAATTACAAATCCACAAATTTAAAACGATGAAAAGGTTGAATGCAGCAAGTTTCACCCACGCTGTTTTATATTCTTCAGATAAGGAACGCGTAACGTTTTTGAACGCCATCCTGATATTACGGAAGGAAATGTAAACAAGTCTCTAATCCCAGCTACTTCATGAAGGAAAAGGAGCATGATAACACAAGAGTATTGTACTCTGATTTCCTCAAATGTGTTTCTGAATAAAGAAACCTAAGATCTCTCAGAGCAAGAAACATAATTAGAAAAGAAACAGACTGCCTACAAGATCTGGAAGTCTTTCCGAAAACATTTCCTGTCCTTCAGAATGTACTGCAAAATCTAAATCTCTTACATTTTTAGACATCCTTTAAAACAAGCAGTGCTGGAGAACGTGTGAGCGTTTACAGACTTGAAAATACGGTGCAAATGGGAACACATACGCAGTGTCAGAAAAGCCTGACAAATGCAACAAAAGAATTATGATTTTGTACAGACACAAATTCAATCGAAAGCATAAGCATCAAAGAAAATGTTACAAAGATAACATGAAATGTATTACCAATGACTTCAAAAACTTCAGGCATTGATTTAAGATAAACTTTATCTTGTTAATATTTGAGTCTGGAACTATAACGCTGAAGTAAAGCATCTCTAGTTTCTTTAATTTGATAACCTCCAAAAAACACTAAGAGCACCATTTACTGCAGCTAAGAACTCAAAAACAAGTCTGCTAACAAAACACTGAAGTATCCCTTTTAAAAAAAACATACTCTTGAGTTCTCAAAGGATGTAGATATTTTTTAAATTATTTTTTCAGTTATTTTATCTCATCCCACTGGAGGCTGAAAACACATCATCTTTCTCTATCTGCTCTAAACATTACTATCTTCAATGTAGGCTAGCTTTGATACACTACACCAAGTTGTATCTTGCTTCCTGAATCAACAATGCTTCTTGGCAGATTAAGACTCCCTCCTGAAAGCATTATTAGCAACATTTCCTATTAGGATTCCTCTGCAGAAGAAAAGCAAAATTAGTAATACATCTGGAGATGAAATAAAGGTGACCAAAAAGAAAGTAGTCATCGAATAACATGAAAACCCCAAAACTATAAGCATTTTGTTTTTACTTCTTTAAGATGGGTATACTACATACTTTATCATACACTTACTGTATATTAGTCAAGTCAGTAACCGTTGGAAGGACACCACCATTCCCCAGATTCTCTCTCTGGATTTTCAGACTGATTTCTATATGGACTGTTCCTAAAAACAGAAAAGAAAGTACTGTTAAATAATGAAACCTTCCAGACAAGCACAGTAAAGGAGATCATTTCTGTTTAAAAAAAAAAAACACCTCTCACGATTGCTTTAAAACAAGAGAAACGAAGATCTCAGCACAACATTTTCCACACGAAGTAAAGATTAAAGCCAATACAGGCTTTAATCTGGATTTAATTCTTATGCAAACTTTGGAGGTCTGCCACAATGACATATACTGAACACTACCTGCACGTTCATCAGGTAACAAGAAAAGATACAGCAAGAAATACCCTTGAATAGTATCCTTCACTGACATTAAATACAGAATCTAGCCATAACACACTAAAAAGTATGTCACTTCCCATTTCTGTTGAGATGCACAAAAGAGAAGCAACATATGGAAGCAATTTGACAGCAGATATTTGGTCACAAAACACTTGTTTGAGATTTTAAATCCTGCAACACTGACTTACTATAGGAAAAAAAAAATCAATTTAAATATCCAGTTCTTGGATTTTAGATCCAGGGCTGTAAGGGACTGAGACCATAAGACACTTGTGTTATGCTAGTCCGTGTAATACTAAATGGTAGCCTTCTCAACAAGGAAACTGTAGGAATTGCTCCTTTAGGAGACTAAGGGCTGGGTTTTTTGTTGTTGTTGTTGTTTTTTTAATCAAGAATCCACTTCTTTCTTTGTGGGAAAAAAAAAGAACAATAAAATTGGCTTTCAGTAAATTTTGCCAGGAAACCACCTGAAAAAAACTCTTGACTGTGGAGTCAAGATTTTTTCATTGAAGTTATTATTTGTTGGATTTATTATTATTTAAATTATTTGAAAATTAAATATTATACATTTAAAAGACAAAAAAATTTAAAACAGTTTTTCATCATTTAAAACTGAGTGATTAAAGTGCAGGAAAAATCCAATTTGAATAGAAGTCTTCTAATTGTCACCTTTTCAGATCCCGTGACATCATCCATTAATTAACATGTCCTGTCAAGGTCTTCCAACATGAAAGAAACCTTTCTGTTTAACTCAGTGTAAATAAAATCAAGATAAATGTGCCTTTAGGTTTGCTTCTAAGAAGCAAGAAAGGTATACAAGACCACGTCCCTTTAATTTCCAGATTACACTTGGGAAGCATTTAATTCCTAAGAAACCTTTAAAGTGGCCAGACACTTAACAAATAACAACTCTTTATTCTCTAGAAATAGATAGCAAGCTCAGAATATTCTTCGTAATGAAAACTGATTTCAGCAAAGCCATAATGAAAGTATTTAACATCTATGTGCCTAATACTTAGTTCATTCTGCAACTCAGAAAACAAATTCAAGCAGAATTTGACAGCAGAGCAGCAGGAATAGTGCAGAGAAATTGAACAAGAGGATTGCAGTGATGCATCCTCCAGCAGAGAAAATGCAGAAAAGCATTTACAGCTGCACTGAGAAAGTAGCTACAGAGAAAAGTGACGTGGCTACAACTGTTCTAAAATGGCATATGATTCAGAAGCAAAGAGTATTACAAGAAACGCTGCCTCGGATATCAGAGCTTTCCACCTTTTACCTAAAGATAAAAGATGCCATGGTTCTTATCTGACCACAGAACTACCACAAAACGTGGACATTGCTGCACGTATAGAGAAAATCCCACAGAAGTATACAAATAAATATGAATAAAATAATCTGCATGTTTCAGACGCAGTCTGTTTGAAAGCAGTCTTTCCAACCACGATTAAACAAACGCCCTTACACTGACAAATGTTAAATGCTTTACAAAATATCACCTCCATTTGGCCAAAAATACTTTCAAACCAGCCATGAAGCAGAACAGCACATTTCTGGTTGGAAAAAGCAAAGAACTATTTGATTGGTAAGCAAGAAACTTACCTTAAAAGACATGCCTCAGTTCAGTTGCTTTTCCCCAAACATGGAGCTGAGCAGCACAACAGCACAGGGAGCTGCAGTACCTGCACAGCTCTGCCTGACCTCCACTTCCACAAACAAAATTCTCTCTGAGCACATTTCATCATTTCCTGCCGGCTGCTGAAAACCTTGTCGCTCAAGCTAAGGTCATTTTTTTCACACTGCAGCACTCAAACCAGCACAGGGTTTTCACTCGCCCATTTCCATACTGCAATGAAGTTGAACACTCAGGTAATCTTCAGAAAAGCCCACCGCTAAGAGATACTAACGAAAGGTGTTTTTCAAGCGTACAACTGCCTTAGGTGGAGAGCAGCCTTTTCAAACACATCAGTGAAATATGCAGGCATATTTTGCAGACGTGTTGCTTAGGAAGCAGCTGTGTTGCTTCTGTGTTTCATACTCAAAAGCTGTATTTTTCCATCTCCGGAAATATGGGGCTGTAATACTAATTAACGAAATACTGACATGTATTGAATAGAGGCACATCTAAATCCTTAGATTAAGGTGAAACACGCAGGTCTTCTTGAATCTGAAGGTTACATTAAGTAAAGGAGTTATCGTTCTTCGCATCAAAAGAGAACTGACTTAGAGACCTCAATTGAACTGAATTCAGCCCTAAGATTCCAACATATTTCTCTCTAAAGACAGACTACTGTTTGAAACTGAATAAGTGCGTTAACGACACGTCAGCATACTTTGCCTTTTGATATTCTTACAGACAGGCAGGTGATGATGCTTGGCAGAATCTAATAATACTGACCGGGGTGGGGGAAGCCAATTGCACTGCTGACCCTAGACCAACCTGTGTACCCTACAAGTAACTCCTATGCCTTTTTTTTTTTTTTTTTTTTTTATTTAAAGAAGAAGTAAAAAGGAACAGAGAAAGGAAAACCAAAAATAGGACTTCATATATAGTCTCAGAAGGGCACCAATGAAGATGATAAAGGAGAAAAGATCTAGTGAAGTAACTCCGTTTCCCAAAGAGCAATGCATTCACAGTTGATTTAAAACACTGTAGGGGCACCACATGTCCACACAGAACTCTGGGGTGCTTTACGATTACTCTCTACTAGACAAAAAATAGCTTTTTAGGATAATTACTTGATGCATATACAGTAGTAGAAACATCCTACATCATCAGTAATGTTTTGGTAGTATAGCTTATGCTGGATTTTTGAACAGAAGGTACAGAACTGCACCCTAGGAGCCCTGCTAATGCAGAAATTAAGTAAGCACCCCCATAACAGCTGACTTAGTTGAGAGTCCTAACAGCTCTACACAGGAGCTTCAATTATTACCTATGCTTTCTGCAGCCATTACCCTCTCAGCCCTGCCGACGAAACGCAGAGCGAGTGAGCATGTCATGTACTTCAGTTCTCAAAATATATGCAAAAGTGGTTTAGAATTTCCTCCCATTCTAGCAACATAGAAACTGTTAATTACTGCAGGCACCCCTACAACCTGAAAGCAACATTCTCAACTGGGGACAGAGTCACAAACATTATACATCACTTCAGCAGTGTCATTCAATGTCTGGGACCAATATGGAAATTATAGGCCTCTGCAGAATGTAATTCATAAATGTACAAGCAGAAAAAGCACAGGCATAGGAAGCTTTGACTATCCATCTTTCCGGTAAACTAAGAATAATCTGCTGATTATTCTTTCAGGAACAACACAAAAGATCCATTCATGTATTTCAGAATCAATGATTGACCGTAACCACGCAAATAAACATGTGAGAGTGTTTCATATTTCTGATTCTAAATGATTAATTCAGATTTTAAACTGAACCTGTTTCTGAATACCAGTCAGGGTCATTTATGTTGTTAGTGTTAAGGTGGGGGAAAAGCTTACTTGCTACTTAGTTCCATTAAGGTGGCCATTAAAAAGAAAGACTCAAATTCAGTTTAAACAGATTTTCAGCCCTGTGAATCCAAGGCAAACTTTAGCCAGGACTCCCACGTTTCTAGGCAATTCCATTTTCTGATCCTCCAACGGTAATTACTGCAACAAGGACAAAAGATCTTTATTTGCCTGTTAGTAATTTACGCAAAACAGGATTGCTGACCTAGTAGAATTAAATAACCCTCAAAAACACTTTATTTTTTTAAATAAATCTAATATATAAACCTGCTCTTTTATGTAAGCAACACTGAAGTCTTATCATGTACTAAACTCATAGGTCTAAGCTACCTGGAAGTACCACTTGTAAGTACTGAGGTCACAGATCTCATTTTACCACCATACACATAATTCAACAAGATAAGCTAGAAGCAAGCTCAGCTGCTTTGTGTGTTTTCATTTCACTCTTTAAAATCACGTGCAGTATACAAACCCACGTTAACTCCAAGGTAATTTAAAATCTGAATGTTTCAGTGAACAAAACACGGTGTGCTTTAAGGCAATCACATGTGATTGAGATCAGGCAAACAAGAAGATGGAAGTTTTTCTTTGGTTGCAAACATCTCACTAGTCTCATTAGTAGTTTAGAAAATGCAAAACAGCAGCCAGCCTTCCTGACAATTTCCAGAGATGTGGATTCACTTTAGTTGTCTTTCAACGGCTGCCAAGCATACAAGTCCCTCAAATGTACAAACTCAAAACACAAGAATGTGAACAAAACAAAAGCTTAGTTTACTCAATCACAGCCCAGTCTTTTCTGTGCTTCTCCCCCTTTTGAGGAAAAGGAAAGCTTTTAATGACATATTCAATTAAATACATGTAGATGTACACGTACATCAGCCACCCACCCTACAATCCAAATTGGACTGAGGTTCAAGGAAACTGGGACAAAGGCCCCATTAACTACTGTTCTTGCACTTGCCATTACCACTGTGCTTTTTAACTTCTAACGACTGGGCCATCACTAGTGGAAACTGCAGCCTTCAACCTGCATCTTAGCAACAATCAAAAGACAGAAATCAGAGGTAAACAATGCAAAGCTGAATCAATTGCTCTCTCAATATTAGCATCTGATAAACTCCAGTGTAGAAAATTCAAATACCTACAACTACTTCTAAACTACACACAGTCCAGATCCAATCTCCAAAGTGCTGAACAAAGTATTAATAAAGACT